ATGACTACATGCAGTATTCTACCATGTGTAAACTTATATCCCTAAAGGATTCTAACTGTCTAGTGTTTAATGGACCTGTCAAAGATATATTGAGATTATAGAAGGCCCCTTTCAGAGCTAGGGGGAACTTCCTTATATGGTTGTAACTTGAAAACACACGAACCCTTCTGCCTATAAAAACCCTGCACAAAAGAATAAACTTTGAGTTGATTTTGGGAAAGCAACCCGTGCAGTCTCTGTGTCGTTTTGTTCTCCCAGCTGCTCCCGACGTCGTAACTAACCCAGCTGAACGGCATACCTGATTGTTACTTTGAATAATTTTGAATCTTATACAGAACTCTGCTTATCGGTGCCCACGCCTCAGGAGGAAACCCGATCCACGGATGATCCGGGACGGAGATTTCTTTCAGTGTCTTTGCCTCACCACATCTGGGGGTTAACTGGGTTAAATTCAACACAGCAGCATCTCTAAATGACTGATTCTAAGCCTGGCACAAAAGATAGAAATCCCTGTTGTTCTGGCATCTTATGCCTGCACACATTACCCTGCTGTTCAGTGGTGCCTGACTGCAATACCTGTTTACCAGATTGTAGTGGGTCTCGTGTGAATCTGTGCAACCCATCTGAACCTCCAGTTGTCTCCGCTCTTTCCTCAGACACCAACGTAAGGCTGACAGCACTCTGAACACTTCCTGTTGATCATCTGAAGCACAACAGGGGACTGAAGGCGGGGCAGGGATCGGGAAAATAAAGGTTTATAATTTGCACAAATCTTACCCTGCTGGCTGGGAATTTCATTGGGTGGTGGGTGGTTTGGTGCTGACACTGAGCAATTCTGTGAATGCAATTTTTTTTTTATTTATAGAGTTGTCATACAGGGCAAAATGTGAAAAAATTTGCAGTGAGTTACTCAGAGTTCTAGACGAGCGCTGGCTAAAAACAGAGGAGGGCCTAGATGGCGCAAGATTTGCCAGCTTTTTCTGCAAGGTTGGGATGGGCGGAGAGGGCTGCCTCTGCAGGACGACAACTAGATTCTTTCTTTGTCATTCTTTGACAACGACACAGCGAGCTGAAGCACTCCTGTCTTTTCAGGCTTACTGTACCTCATAATTCAACCATGAGTCTCTCTCCACCCTGGTGGTCTGAGGTACCTTCTTAGTCTCTTTTTCCTGCCTCACCACCTTTTCCTCCTTCTGCTGACGTGTTTCAGCTTCATGGATCCTGCCTTGGTTTTTCAGCTTGTGCTGCAGAGTAGATAAAATTATCTCTCAAAGTCCACTCCATTGTGATACATATTTAACATTACTGTTTCTCATTTTCTAAAGCTTAAAACAACACTAATTGCTTTAAGACCAAGAGTGCAGCAGGTCAACTATCACAGTAAATATAAGGACTTTTTGTTAATAGGTTGTTGCATTTTCTTTGTAATGCTGACTTCACACAAACTGGACGGCAACACGTTTTTCAACTCGAGCAATCTAAACATCACCACAGTTAAATCAAACCAGTCGTCGTCTGATTTTTGTTATGTTTAAAAACTATAGTGTCACTGTCTGCCTGAGAAATATTCTGCTACAAGTGGCTTGGTATTGTTTTTCTCTCCTTTTCTCTCCCTCTATCGCCTGGGCGGAGGCCATTGTGGGCTCCCGCCTTTGGCCTACATACCTGGGAGATGGTGAACACCTGCGTCTCATTAACCGGCCTCTACTTATGGGAAGAAGTTAGACTGCTCTTTGCTGGATTGTTGCTTGACTCATGTTAGTGAAGTCCTGGCTAGGACACTAGTAATCTAGTTCTCTTGGATTTTGAATCTTGTGCTAACACGTCGTTTCCCTGTGTACAGACACCCTGGACCTGCCCTTGTTCCTTACAGAAATTCTGGTACGAGAGAGGAGTGAGAGACTGGTGAGACGCCAAGAGAGACAGAAGGAGAGTGAGTGTGTTCCCCCTGCTTTTCCCTGCAGATTCCCTGGAGACCTGATCCCTGCACCCTTGTATATAGCACTTTGACACTGTCGCACATTTAACTTGGTCTAACACAGGGCCATATAGGTTTTTTCCCTCTTAATAATAAACAACTTCATTTAGGAATTGCATTTTGTGTTTATTTGTGTCATCTTTGTCTAATATTTAAATGTATTCATCAAGGGTCATCAGTTCAGAGACTGTGACAGTTGAGACTGAGAACAAGAACGAAGTGAGACAGAGAAGCAGAATGGATGAATTCAGATGGATTCAAATGTTTTTATGTCTGATGCTGATGATTCAGATTGTAGGTAAGAATACAGGAAACATTTTTATAGCAGTGAAATAATAATCGTATCAATATTATTACAATCACTTACCAATAACATGAATAAGACAGCTGAGCATGATCTGCTGTTTTAGGGAAGCATGTTTATAAAGTTGTTTCTAAATTGATTTTCACTCTTATTGTAAAAAGTGCTGTATTCTAATGTTTTTTATTGGTTTTCTTCAATGAAGATTGTTGATGATGTCATTCAGCCTCGTCTAAATGTGATGACCATAATAACTGTGATGGTACTAAATGTTTTTTTATTTCAAGAAACTAACAGCACAGCTGATCAAACTTTGACAGATCGGTGAAAAGGCCACAACTAAACCAGACAGATTGATTATTGAGGTGAAATGTTCTCTCTCTGTTATAAAGTATTACCCTATTTACTCAGCAGGATACAACACAGTGAAGTGTGAGGTGACTGATACACACAGGAAGAGTGCAGCCATTTACCTTCAGCCCTCAGCCCTCAGGTGAGGAAACAGGTGAGCTCACGATCAACTGTTTAAGATGACCTCAAATATTAGTTTGATAGATTTTAAATTTTTAAGATCTTTTTTTTTCATTAACAACTTGTGAAATAATGACACACTTTTTGGTTTGGTTTTGTCATTTATTCAGCTGAAGCAAACACAACAAAGGAACCAGCGAGAAAAACTGAAAGCAGCACAAAAGGAGAGTTCATACTTTAGTTTACATCTTTTTTCCTAATGAATATTATTTACATTTTGATGACAGAAAATCACTTACCTATCCTATAGGAAACATAAGATGTAACATTTGATATGATGGTGTGGTTTTGGCAGGAAACATTGTTCACTTGACTATCATGGCTGTTAAATGGTGTGAAAAGTTTTTCAAACATTAACATGCAAAAATGTTTCAAATTTGTTTTGTCTGCTTTATCGCAGCTATTTTGTGGTACATCGATGGAGCTATTGGTTTGGTCGCACTGCTGATAAGAGCTGTGTGTCTCATCATAAGGAAAAGAATGAAAGGTGAGAACATTTACAGATACAACATTTGTAAGTTGTTCTATGAATGTTAGAGTTGACTGTTTTTGTCTTTCCAGGAAACAAAATGCAGAAGAGTGAAAATCCTGTGAGTTTTGAAACATATAATTAAATATTCCTATATCTGCCACTAAAAAGACAATTAAATAAACCGCTCATCTTTGAGGGAGTGTTAACAAGAACTAAACTGCCTTCATAGAAATGGTTTTCCACTAGATGTAGCCGCACTATTGTCTGTTTTTCAGGGACTGAGTTCAAACCCTGCGGAGACTCAAACCAATTAGAACTCGGTGAGATCTCCCACTACACCCAGAGTTAAAAACACTTCTTCTTATTCTCTAAAAAATTGTAAATGCATGACACTAACTGAAAAAGCATCCAAAAGATAAGAAAGTTAGGCCAAAAATAAAATCAGTAGACCACACCATGAATCGTAAAACCTGAAGTAAGAGGTCAAAACACAAATGCAATATCTTGAGACATCATTTCTGAGAAATTAAAGTGATGAATGAAGAGTTGTTTATGTTGCATTACAGTGAGACATATTTTCAAGGATAACTGTTGGCAAAGTAGGATCCAAGTGCAGAACTCAAATCCATGTTAAACTCAAAAAGCAGCTTTATTGCTGACCTTAGCAGGCCAAAATGCAAAACACAAAATAATTCAGGCAACACTAAAAACCTGGAACTCACAAACTAGCCTCTAAGGAACATAGAACATAACAAAGAACAGAAGCAAACTGGGGCTTTAAATACACATGAGGAGATTAGGCCATCGTGGAGACTAGGAACTCAGTTGTACGGTGGCCCTGAGAGGCCACTGCAACTTAAGACAACACCAGCAATAAGAAAAATGCTGCAAAAGCACACAAAACACAACGAAAAGAGGAAAAACGACAGCGGAAATAGGAAAAAAAAAGATTTGCAAAAGCACAAAGTGTTTCTGGGGAGACAATAACCTGACGGACCAGTTGCAGGAACCAAAATATGCTAAGAATTGCGCTGGGAGACACTTAAAAGAAGTGGAGGATTTATCGGTTTTGTGAGGAAAGAAAAGATGAGTGGTATATGTGTTAGCCTAACTATTAGCCTAAAAATTCATCATCAGTATTATATGAGTCATGATAAAACACACCTAGCATGTTTTGGGTTCCTGCAACTGGTCCGTCGGGTTATTGTCTCCCCAGAAACACTCCCCTTTGCTTTTGGAAATCTGTTTTTTCCTATTTCTGTTTTCGTTTTTCCTATTTACGTTTTTTTTCCTATGTCTGTTACCATTTTTCTTATTTCTATTTTGTTTTGTGTGTTTTGCAGTGTTTTTTTTATTGGTAAATGGACTGATTCTTATATAGCAATTTTCTACTCTCCCAGAGTAGTCAAAGCACTGTAAACAACATGCCTCATTCACCCATTCATACAAGCACGTCTAAAGGTATAGGTCAATTGAAAAATCTAAATTGCCCATAGGTGTGAATGCAGGAGTGAATGTGAGCGTGAATGGTTGTCTGTCTCTGTGTGTTGGCCCTGCGACAGACTGGCGACCTGTCCAGGGTGTACCCCGCCTCTCGCCTTATGACAGCTGGGATAGGCTCCAGCACCCCCCGCGACACTGAAAAGGATAAGTGGATGGATATTACTGAGGAGTCAGCATGTTTTTCTCTTCATTGTTTAGGTGGATCCTGAAGTTTCCTATGTCACCATCAGCAACACCTAGAAAACCAAGATAAGGTGTTTTGTTTAGTGATATCTGTATGTTTGTTTGTTTGTTATTATTTTATCTATATATCAGACAGCTTTTTTCAGGTTCGTGTTGATGATGAAATGATGCAGTGACTTCTGCTCTACTGTCAATTTTAAAATAACATAGTTCAAGCAGTTGAAAAAAAAGAATTTGCATTTAATGGAAAGACAATTTTTGAATATTGTTTATGGGTCCAACAGATTTAACCCTTGTGTGGTGTTCATATTTTTGTTACTCAGCCAGTGTTCATGGGTCTGGTGGACCCGCTAGAGTTTTGGCTTTCCAAATTAACACTATCAAACAATTTTATGTTAAATTACTCAACAGATGTTTACTTCATCCCAATTACAAGCCATATGAACAGCAAAGACGGTTAATTTTTTCCCTTTCCCTTTGTTAGATCACATTTATGAATTAATGTGCTTCTCGTTTTTTGTTTTTTTGTTTTTTATAAAATGTTATAAAAAAATAAATCAGTTATAATCAAGTGGAGTGAGTGGAAAGACACAACACATTTACACGTGAAGCAATATGTTTCACAACTAAATGGGATCAGCTGCTCATCAATGGTGACATTAGGCCCAGGGTTGTAAAACAGGGGGAGGTGGTGCACACACTTATCCCACACTGTCCTGATGGCAGCTAGCTTGTCTCTCTGCCGTCGAGCTGGTCTGTCGTCTCGGTTATCAAAACGGATAATCCTGGAAATTTTGTGGAAGTTTTCCAGAGACATTGATGCACGGAAAGGTTCTTGCCGGTTTCTGCATCCCACAGGGATTCTGTGGATTCCCCTTTGGACCTGAAAACTCCTGCAAGGATAAGAACCCCAAAGTAGGCCTTTGGGGTTCTTGGAGGAATTTGGTCTCCTTCCACCTCTCTCCAAAAACACACCTTCCTTCTAGATTACTGCAATCCAGAATAATTTTCTGGATGGAATCTGGGATGAAAAGCTCAAATGAAGACTTGATGTCCTGCACATGAGTAACTGTCAGCCGTTGGCCCTGGCCAGTAGCAGCTCTGCAGGGTGGCTCATTTCTTGGGCAAGAAGACCATTCAATTTCACCAGTTATTGACATCCATATTTCTTCACTTGCCGTCTGGTGGGCTTGTTCTGGTCCTGGAGCTGGCAGCAGATGGGGTACTCGTCTTCGTTTTGTTACTAAATGGTGCTCAACCTCATCCTCTTCTTCAAAGTCACTGTCAGACTCTGAATTTTCAGAAATGTGAAATATTCTGAAACCTCTTTGTCAACATCATCATCCGAAGCCCCTCTCTCTTCCAAAATCAATTGGATGGCCCTCGCAGCAGATAATCTTTTGCCATCTTGATCAGTTGTGATAAAGAACCACACTGGCAAAGTCTTATTTATAGTATTATGCCCCTAATTTGCAGGTGGGACAGGGTATGAGAAAATAAAATTTGGATCCCTCAAGAAAGAGGGTAAAATGTGTGGGAATGTAAGGGCAGACGGTGTTGATAGTTGAATTTTCAACAATGTTGCAACTTTGTGCGGGAGCAGGAGGGGAAGAAAACACTATCAGCAGCACCAGAAAGGAGGAAGACAGAGTGTGGGAACACAGGACCTGCACTTTCAACACTTTTATTAGACCTGGGTCCAGTGGACCCGAACACCTTGTATGTAATGTAAATGTGTGGGGGGAGGTACAGTATGAGGTCATTGAAAATTAGTTTATGTTCTTCACAGAAAATAAGCCAAAGCCAATGAATTTCAGGTTGAAAAAATAAATTGTTTAATTTTTCTTTTCAAAAAAAAACTGAAAACGGGTCTCACAGACCCGAACACCATACAAGGGTTAAAAGGTAGAAAAGCTGGTCATCCAGTTTCATATTGGGCTCTTTGTGGATGCTCTGACCCACAAGGAAAGCCAACTTGTGGGCGTACTGGCAGGGAGCAGGCACTCTGATGATCCCCTAAAGCACAAAGAAAAACAATCAGGCATGACCAACACAATGCCAAAGTCAGTGACATTTACACAGTCGGGGAAAATTATTTGATCCCTGCTGAATTTATGCGTTTGCTCACTTACACAGAAATGAAGTCTAATTTTTAATGGCAGTTTTATTTGAACAAATACAGAAAAAAAAACATTATATCAGAGTTATGAATGGATTCACATGTCACTGAGTGAAAAAAAGTATTTGATACACAAGTAAAACACAAGTGGGTACTTTGTGAAGGAAGTCTTGGCCAGTACAGCCGTATAGTCTGTCACCAGGTTTGCACACATCTCTGGAGTGATTTTGGCCCGGTCCTTTTTACAGAAACTAAGTCCTTTAGGTTTCTCAGTTGCCACTTGGGAACTCAAAGCTTAAGCTCCCTCCACAGGTTTTCTATACAATTGAGGTCTGGAAACTGACTAGACCACTCAATGACCCTAATGTACTACTTCTTTGGCCGGTATGTTTTAGGTCATCATCATGCTGGAAGACTGATTCGGACTAGGGCTGCCACGATTAGTCGACTATCAAAATCGTCGACGACTAATTTAATAGTTGATGTGTCGTTTGAAGCTTTGTAAGATCCCAAAAGACGCAGGAATAAGTAGTAGTATTTAAGGGTGTAATAACGGACTGAAGCAGAAGATGGCAGCACTGCATGTACAAGGATGCCAGCTGCCGTTAAACCTTGAAGAAGAGGAAGCCTAATGATAGTTATATAAGAGCAGATGCTGCTGGTGCAATAAGCGGTACGTTTTACGTCCAATGGATGCATGATCTGATTAGTCGACTAATCGCAAAAATAATCGGTGACTAGTCGACTATCAAAATAATTGTTTGTGGCAGCCCTAATTCGGACCCACCTTTAGTCTTCTGTGCTCTTATTGGAAAAACACCTCCAAAGTACAAAGTTTCCACCTTCATGTTTGACTGCAGAGATCATGTTCTTTGGCAATACTCTGCATTTCTTGTCCTACAAATACAGCGGGTGGAGCTGATGCCAAAGAGCTCAATTTTGGTTTCATCTGACCGCAGCACTTTCAAAGCCTTCTCTAAATCATTTAGTTGTTCACTGGCGAACTTAAGATGGGTGTGCCATGTGCCTTCCTGGTGTCCGTAGTCCCAGCTGCCTTCAGATCTCTAACACGCTCCTGGCATGTAGTTTTGTGCTGATGACCACCTTTCTTGTGCACCCCATGAGCAAAGATCGTATGTGGAGCTCCAAACCGAGGGCAACTGATGGTCATTTTATATTTCCAGATAATTGCACCAGTAATTGTCACCTTCTTACATCCCATTCCCTGTTTGTCCTTTGACAGCTCTTTTTCAATTACTGAAAAATATAATTAATTGAAGAAATTGATTCTGTAGACAGGTGTGCTTTATAATTAGACACTCTTGAACTCACTGATTGTAATTTGCCAATTTGAGTCAGAATTCTGGCTGGGTTGTAGGGGATCAAATAATTATATCACTCATTGATTTTTGACTGATATTCTCCCTCCATTAAAATTAAATTGTATTGCTTTGTATATTTTTAAATTAGAGTCGATCATTCAAAAACGTCATCATTTAATGAAAACTCCTTAAAAACACTGAGGAGAAAGACGCCTGATTATGACCAGTTTAGATGAAGACAACATTTTCAGTGTAGAAAGATTTCTACTCAAAAAGGTCACTCTGATGCCAGCCTACCTGCCAGTTGTAGTACATGTGGCAGAGCTTGTAGGTGAGCCGCTGCATGTGATCTGGCTTGAGTCCACTGGTGTCATACACGACATTGTAGTGGGTTGGTGAGACACTCTCACTGCGAACAGCCTGGCTCACAATATAGAAGTCATACCTAGAAAACAAACGTGCAACAGTACTGTCACAATACAACTGCTCCTATGTAAATATCAAAAGACCGTTAACAGCTAAAAACAAAAAAACAACAAAAACCCCGCCCCCCTCAAAACAAGACGTACCACTCTGGCCGGGTGACCTCTGCGTCAACGATGGTGCCAGGAGGAGGATTGGACACCTTGCCATTTATGTGGGCGAAAAACCTGCTGCTTATGCGCTTCTTCACCACCACCACACGCTTTGGGCTACAACAAAAAGACAGAGGCTCTGGGAAAACCTGACACTTCTACTAAATAATCTCAACTTTGTTCTTTAGATGCTCAGGAATAAATACTAACAGCACTACAAAAACGTCCATGTTCCAACCAGTCATTTTACTTTACTGTCCTTACAATTCTCAAATCAAAGGAAGGAATCATGTATGACCATTTGTATTATCAATAACCCCACAGTGCAAATTTAACTGCCTCTGAGGGCAACGGTTTTTAGAGATTTAAAAAACACCATAACCGTTGGAGATGTAAAGACTCACTTGTAGTCTTGCCCCACTGACTTGATGGAGTCCATGATCTGCTGAACCTCATAGTTCACCACACTGTGCAACTGCCCATCCCCCACTCCGTCTCGGTAAACGATGATGCGTGAAGGCAGACAGCCATTGAACCTCAAATACTCTTTCAGGGCAGCTGGAAAACAAAGTGTTAAGACAGTTTCTGAGATCCTCTGTGTATTTAAAAGTAAAAGTTTTTGAAATGACAAAAGAAACTTGCCACTCAAAGTCTTCTTCAGCTCATCCATGATCTCCTGACCTTTGTGTTGCAGCACACACTTTGAGAGCCACCTTGAAAAACATTTGAATCATTAACTGTACTATTGCATTTAAAGGCTGGGAAACCACACACACACACACACACACACACACACACACACACACACACACACACACACACACACACACACACACACACACACACACACACAAAACGCCAAGTGAGGCCTTGTTTGCACATGTTGAACGTAACCGAGAGCATTGCACTGCTCCCAGTGTGAATTCCCACCTCAGTTACAGAAACCAACCTGCACATGCTTTGGTTGAGACTGGCCACTAGAGCACCAATAGACCTTTTCCCAGCAGCGGTGTCATGGTAGCAGTCGATGCCCACGATCATCAGCTGTTTGAGCTGCACAAACATGACAATATCACAAGGGGTTGCCACAGCAGGTAGCTCCGGATGTATGACTTAGCAGATTTTCTTTCTTTTTCTTAATGTTGGACAGCTACAGAACCATAGATGATTTCTGCACCTCCAGAGATCAAACTGGGGATCTATTTTTAAGAAGTCATCCCAAGGACAGTCAGAGGCATTGTGAACCCAATCAAACCAGTTTTGGATGAAAGGAGAAAAAAAAAAACATTCTCATCTAAAGCACCAGAAAGTTTAATCAATTCAAAAGTTACTACTCTTTGCTTTCCAAAACACCTTAAACTTTAATCTCTGACATCTGAAGTATTTAGTTTGTGTGGGACTTACAGGGATTTCCACACTCCAGAGTTCCCCTCCCATCTTGCAAGCCATCTGCAGCGCAATCTTTGTAGCTATAGTCATGAGTGCCTGAGGTCGGCTGAGGGTACGGGCCACCACACACTGGCTGGGAGTGGGGCAGTCCACACAAAGGAACTTCTTAACGCTGTCATACTTATCCTTCCTGTTGTTGGGGAGGACTACCACCACCTAACAAACAGAAACACCCTGAGGTCTGGTACCGCTTTGGGAAACGTCAAAATTAAGATCCCTGATGACAAAAATGCATTGTGACATAACTACAATACACTGACCTGCAGTTTCTGTCAGTTATAAAAAAATGGCTACAATTCGAGCATTTAAATGCAAATGTGGTTCATAAAAAAACATTTTAGACCTGAAAACTGAAAAGTAAATGTACAAGTGTGTGCACTTCACACATCACCAACCATCTCTATCTGGGGTCCGACACTGTGCCGTAGGGCTGTGAGGAGAGACTCCTGATGATCTTCATACTGTATCCTATAGAAAAACAAGGATGCACGATAACGTTTGTGAATTAAAAGACAAGACAAGAAAAAAAAAAACCTACAAGTGTTACAGTCAAAAATTTCACTTTACATACATGACAGTCCATTGTGATAAAAAAAAAAAGTGTTGCAGAAATACTTAAAAATGCTCAACTCACATGACAGGTTTTCCCATGGCAATTCCCAGTGGGCCTGAGACTCTGCTGAGGGTCTGTAGAAGAGAACTGGCTTCATTGCCGTTACGACGGGTGTGAAAGAGGAGCCAGTTGTTCAAGGGAGGAGCGCTTATCACAGCTAATCCACGCATCTCTTTGGCCCAGTCAGCGGCCCAGGGGTTGTAGTCATACTATGTGATAATTATATTAAACATATTAAATGAGCCCTTAAATGTATCTGTTTAATTAACTGAGAAGAAGAAATTATACCGAAGGGGCCTCAATCTGGACGGAGGGTTCTCAAGCTCCAGGATCTCGAAGTCCTGCTCCGGCAGCCCTGGTACATTATCATACTGGGAGGCATTGGAGCCTCGGTCGGTGCCGGGGGCGTAGCCCTTGGAGCGTGGCCGGCGGTGAGGCTGAGCGGTGTCATCTGGGCTGGAAGGAGCCGGCGATGGCCCTCGGCTCATCTGAATTTCCCGCAAAGCTTCTAGCTTAGTCTCGGAGGGTTTGACCCACTGGGGCCCAGGCATGTCTCTGCGGGAGCTAGAGGCTGCGTTGGAGTTGTGGTTGGCGATGGCGTGAGCCTTTCCTCCATCCACAGCGGTCATCTGTGGTGTTGGGGTGGGGGCTGACAGCGGTGTCTCCCCCCTCTCTGGTATGGTGTAGGTGGATTGCTTTTGTGTCTCATTTGAGATTTCACCTGACCCCCTTGAGTGGGTTTCCCTTTTGTCCCCCTTGTGGTGACGGATCCGTTTCTCCAGCGATTCCCGGTGGGCTCGGCTCGGGGGCCGTCCGTCCCGCTGGGGGTCCGGTAGAGGACTTGGCTCCCTGGGGGGCTCGGCTGGCTCCGCGTGGCTTTGACTGTTGGCCACGTGGTTTGCTGCGGCTATCTCAGGAGGAAGCTGCCCTAGAGGCTTCTTGGGAAACTCGTCCTCTTTACCTGTAAAAGATCGGAGGGGGAAAAAAAGGTGTAAACGCATTAGAACGCCATCAGGAAACAAAGGTGAGCGGTGATGACTGAACACACTGTGTGGCGCTGGTTCACATCTGATGACGTGTCACAAACGGGCACATGAATTCATGCAACAACACTGCCATAGAGAGTACAAAATAAAGGAGAATACACTCATGAAGACACATAATCACATATCCACAGGCAAAGAGTGGGAGGAGGATAGGGAAAAAAACATCAGAAATAATGTTTGATATAAATTCCCATCATGGGAGACTCAATTAGGAAGAGACACTCTACTGAGCGTGCTCTGAAATTATTAGTCTTTCTACATTTCATTAAACAGTACTTGGCTGCAGTAGTAGCTCCAGGCTTGAAAGGTCATACAGAAATATTTCTTGATTAATGAACCTTCTTAAATGCACTGAGACTTATAAGTACAACTACAAAAAGAGAGAGAGAGTACTCAGCTTCTACAACCAGTACAAGGTTTGACATTAGTACTCAAACTTGCTGCTTTACATCTGAAAGAAATGAGCAGAGCTGACAGGAACACACGGTGTGGGTTATGTGGGTGTTTTAAGGGAAAAAGTGATGACCAGAGTCAGGTCAGGACGACAGCAGCTGGAAGAAGTGGAAGCGCTGTGGGAGTTATCCAGGAAGTCGACTTATTGGACCTGCATCCACAGACTAAAGAGCGTGTGCGTGACGAAATTACCCACTGACCTCGGTCACTTTTGTTCCACCACAAACTGCTTAAAACCCACCGGGGGACAAAGTTAATGTCTTTCACTTATTGAATTTATTGTTTTAATTTAAAGAAATAGAAACTTGGGATTTTCTACAAATTTCAACTGGTTAAATTTTTTTCCCTAACCAACTTTTCTGTTTTGTTTTCTTCGTTCATTTCCATTCACGTTTATTAGACGAGCCAAAACACAATCATCTTTTTCATTCGTGCGTTTTATTAGATAACAAAATACAAATCAAACTTGTGTTTCTTCTGCTACTGCAAGACTACAGCCCTCAATCAAGAGGTTTATACAGTGCTGTGAAAAAGTGTTTGCCCCTTATTAATTCCATAGTTTTTTGCATATTTATCACACTTACATATTTCTGATATTGGAACAAATATCAATATAAGACAAAGATAAGGGAAGAATACAAAACGCAGTTTTTCATTTATTAAGGAGCAAAGACGTTATAAGCCCTTAACCCTAATAACTGCTTGTGCCACCCTTCGTAGCAAATGCAATCAAACTTTTGCAATTACTGACTACGTGTGTTTCACATTGCTGTGGAGGAATTTGGGCCCAGAATTGTTTTAATTCAGCCACACTGGAGGGTTTTCCAGCACAAACAGCCTGTTTAAGATCAAAGCACATCAATGAGATTTGCGTTTAAGCTTTGACCCAGCCACTCCAAAGCCTTCACTTAGTTTTTTTTTGAGCCATTCAATCACTGTCCTGCTCCAGGTCCAAAGTGCTTCAGGACACAAACTGATGGCTGGAGATTCTTCTTCAGGGTTTTGAATCTTAACTGAGGTAAGTAAGGCCTGCAGTTGTTCAGATTTTGTTTTAAGTGTCCTTTAACTTGTGTGATGCAAACAGAAAAGTGATACCAGTGTAGTGAGCGATTGTTTTTCCAGCATGACTGTAGAAATGCTGCTGTAGAGTCTTTTCACCTCACCTGCTGACAGGTCAGAGGCAAATAAAATTGCTCTTTGAAGTCAACACCCCTGTATTAAATGCCATTTCTGCAGTTGTTGGAAGCAATAAAGAACTCAGAGTACTGAGTAAATTACATGCTGTGGTGATTAAAAAAAACTTAAATTAAGCCAAGTAAACACTCAGAATCATAAAACTGTCAAATCTCACAGTTCAGCCTATTCAGACACAAGGATGCAGATTAAAATAGCCCTGCTGCACAGCAGCAGCACATGTGGCAGCAGATAGCTGTTAAAACATAAGTTTAACAAAAGCCTCCAGTGTTCAAAAAAAGGCCCATTATCTTGTCAGCAGGCAGGAAAGCGAACAGACTACTATTAAAGTTGTGTGGGCTCTGGAAGAAAGGAAAGCCCTTCCTCCTTCAGCTACAGCTGCTGTTATAGAGGTTTATATAGTGTGACGCAGGAGGAAAGCAACCACACAGGAACCTGGAAAAGACTGTGAAGACAGGGGTAGATGCATTAAGGACCTTTATCTAAATTTACGGCTGTGCCTTTAAGTAACATTAGCACAAATGCAAAGTTAATTTAGAAGATGAGGAATTTTGTCTCTAAAACTAAAGTTCTCCACACAGAGTCATGCAATACTTTTAGTTTCCCACCAGAGGGCGCCTTATATCATCAATTTTACATCTGCAGCCACATTGTAGTCCAAACAAAAAGGAGAAGGGGATCAAAAACTAAAGGTAAGAGATGAGCTAACCATTGAAGGACTCCAAATAAGCAGCAAAGCAAGTCTGAAATATTATGCTGGAAGATCAGTTTGTGACAGAAACAAAGAAAAATAAACCCGAGTGCTGCGGGACAGACAGGCGACAGACAGGACGGACTGACTGTGGGACAGATGGACAGAGACATGGAGAACGAAGGACCAGTCAGGATAGCCCACCGGTTGCTGTTGTAGGAGGGAATGTGGCCGCCGCTCACAGCCACACTTTTGTTGTTGTTGGCTTACATTGTTTGAAAGAAGAGGGGAGAGAAGGCAGATTAATGAGGAGACAGAGCAGGATTCGAAAAGCACAGTCAGCTGGCACATCTGGACCGGTGTTTGACTTTGTTGTGAACACGTATGTTTGATGTTCGCACTGCAGCCTGGCTGGACCGAAGTTGAGCTGGGTCAGACCTGGCTGGTCACAACGCCCTCTACCTACAGTAGGGGAGCTGGCTGTTGGTCACATGATCACAATAAAAGAGCTGGCTGATTGCAACTGACTGTACCAGTGTTTTTGAGGTATTTACCCAGTTTGAGCTTACATTGCATGTGTAGGGGTTAACTTAGGTTCAAACAACCTTAATGTGAGCACTTATCCCGGCTGAAGTTAGGTTATAGGGTAAGTAAATCCAGATAAGGGAAAGAAACCCTGGATATGTTAAGCTTGCTTAGTGGTACAGAGCCCAGGGGCCTGGGGTCCGTTCTTCGTACCTCGCTAAGTAAGTTAGCTGGATTAGATTGTTGATGATTTCGCGTGATCCTGGATCGTTCGGTTCCCCGAAGCTCATCCGGGACTTGCTGTCATAGCAACAGAGCCGTAAGCGTAAACCTGCTCGGGAGCAGGTTTACTTTATGTAAACAGGATTAGATCGCGGCCACGCAGGTATGTCCGCTTCATTTATACGAAAGCAACAGCGATAAATAAATAACATCAATGTAACTGAAGATAATGCAGCACTTGATCCTTTTATTGATGTCACACAGATACATACAGGTCATTTCCTAAAAAAGGGAAATGTACTATTAACATTCTATTACATGTATGTGATTATTACAGATGTAATTCATATTTCAGAGTAGTAATTGTAAATTACTTCGTGTAATCAAGATGAGAGACCACGGCTATAAAATCCAAGGTGGATTTGGGAAGTCTGTCGCAGCCATGTCCTGTCCGTATACGCGAGCAACCCATTGCGGAAGGTGCAAGATTGATAAGGAGAGTCCTCAGAATTCAGCGTATATTGCGGGACAGACAGGATCCTTTAGCTCAGCGCGACAGTGTGCTCATTGAGAGATATCGATTTTCCCGTGAGGGTATTATTTACTTAACCAACTTGTTGACGAGGGGATGCAGGACCACCACTTGTCTTTTTTTGCTCTGCCCTTTTCTTGGTTGCTGTTATAAACAAACAAACAGATTATTTCAGGGTCTCTTTCCAAGAGACGAAAAGCAATATAAGTGATAAATATTACCATTCTGTAGAATATTCTTATATTTCACTTTTACTTGTTCCCATGTTCTAGTGGGTCCTGTTGTGGCTCTAATGTGAAAGAGGATATAATATAACAATATAATATAATGTAATATAATATTGGATAATATGGTGTGATATGATAAATCTACCCTACCGCCTACTGGTGTTGGCCAGAGGGGCCGATGGCGCAATATGGCAGCCTGGCTTCTGTCAGTCTGCCCCAGGGCAGCTGTGGCTACAACCGTAGCTGCCTCCACCAGTGTGTGAATGTGAGAGTGAATGAATAGTGGCATTGTAAAGCGCTTTGGGTGCCTTGAAAAGCGCTATATAAATCCAATATATTATTATTATTATTATTAAATTACTTACGAGTTTAATTTGTCAGCAACTCTCTGCCAGCCCTCTCTCCTTGCTTTTGCAGCCTTTGCAGTGTTCCCTTGCGTTCTGATTAAACTCTGAAACTCCTGAAATCCCTCACTCAGGAGTTCTTGCTCTGCTGCCGAAAAATACCGAGCCGAGCGCGCTCCTTCGACATTTTCGCCGACCAATCAGAGGGTTGCCGATCAATGTTTCTACTATCGATGCGTAGCTCCTTTTACGACACCCAGTGATGTCACATTACTGCGTCCAGCTGTACTAATCGTCAACGGAAGGTGTGTTCGGAGAACCGGATTAGCGAGCTCACGGTTAGCGCGATGGTTTGATCTTGGATGTGTCATTTGATCTTGGATGTAGTGAGCGACGTACGAAGAACGGGCCCCAGGCTGAGTGAGAACCTACATAGACACCAGTTAGTTTGTTTGTCAGGGCACCGACTAACTCTGACTAATGTGTCTATTTTTGTGTAGTTGTTTTTGTTTTTTTCCCTTTCTTAGTGGTAGCTCACTCATCTTGTGGACTTCAGGTGGACCCTCAGAGGATCTTCATGTATGGATAGAGCCACGTTAGTACCAGCTTGGGTGTACGCTGATTCTTTGATTCCCTTTGGCCTCTTGATTGTGAACATCTCAAACAATTTTCTTACATTTTGCCATTAAATAGAACAATTAAGAAATGTTGGAAGATGTTTCTATTTCCAAATTTATAGAACTAAATTGCTTTTTCTCCTGACCAACAGATGAAGTAGATCATAGATTGAGTGTACAGCGATATCCTCAAGAGTAAAAGTGTAAAATCTGACATTTGGCTTGGATTTGTTTGTCACATTTGCACTAAAAGGGCAATTGGAGGTGAGGTTTCTGGAATTGTTTGTGCATAGAGGAACTTTTGTCACTCTCCAACACAAGTTTAAAACCAACTGGAGATTGATTTACTTGAGAAGAGCAGACTTTTTGATAATTTATAGAAAATGGATTGTTTGGTGCAGAAGTACCTGGTGCGGGCAGCTCCAGCTTCACCCTCCTGAGCTGTGTATTTTCATTTCATTTCAGAGGGAGAACAAGAATGAACCAAACCAAACCTACCAACTCGATCGAGAGAACCAAAAAGAGAGGAGTTGAGCTCGCTTATCTCAGAGTCTGAAAAGAAATAACAACGAGTATTTACAAACGGGGAAAAACAGTAAAATATAAACATTATATGAACAAGAGTGAGAAAAATGAGGTACCTGATGAGGACATGATCGCTGCTAAAGTTTAGTGTACAAACGCACTTTTTAGCTCTGAGTGTTAGAGGCGAGCTTATTTATATTTTTAAAAAGTGTATTCCAAGTGTTACAGAAGCTATTTTGCATGGCTTTTGAAGATGAAAAAGCTTTTGAGAGAATGGTAAAAAGGAAAATGCGAAAATGTAGTTAGAGGGGGAAGATTAACACTTACCGAGTGATATGCACATAGGGCACGCGAAGGCAGTTGTTGTTGATCCCTGGTTTCGTGGCTGTTGCGAGCTCGCAAGCAGTCTGAGCGGCGCCAGTTGTTGATATGTCTGAAGTCAGAGGTCTTCTGGGAGCTCGACGGCAGTCTTAACCTCAGCGGGAGATCATAAAATCAGACCTGGAGCTGATTGGCTAACCGGGGTGCGAAGGGAGCTGTGCGATTTGTTATGTGATTGGCAGGGGGCGAAGTGAGGGGGAGTTGGTCTCTGGCGGAAAATTTTCAAACGATGTAAGCAGCGCATTTGGGAGCAGAGTGGGGAACGAACAAGGAGGAAAAAATTGTGCTCTGCTCTGGAAGGGTCGGCGATTAAGAGCGAGGTAGAACTTAGACTGTGCGTTGAATTTTAGAGGTTGCTAGTAAGAGGGAAGTTTTTGAAGAAAAAAGACTAAGGAGTTTTCCCCCTGTTTTGGATTATAAGGCTTTTGGGAATAGAGGGTAGCTAACAAGTTATTCTAGGGTTTTTGGGGAAATCGCGGAGGATTTTTTAAGGAGTTTTCCCTGCTTATGTTTCTAAGGATTAGGTTAAGGGGGCTGCGGGGATCGCGAGAGTTTTTTTCTGAGTATGAGTTTTATTCTAAATCTACAAATGCATATAAATCGAAATAAAGTTTTGCCCCAAGGCATGCAGCCTGTATTTCCGGCCATACTGAACGTTACAAAAGCACAAGTTTAACTAAACAATTTTAATATGGTTTAAGAGATTTTTAAACACATAAGCACGGAGCCCGAGAGAGCACGGTCCGGAGACCTGTGATTCAATCAAAAACCAAAATACTTCACCCGGTATCTTTGTACTAGTTTGTCTGCATAGCTTGAATTCAAATATTTAGAAAAAAACTGAAAAAAACAGTACTATGTGAAAAAGAATTAAAATGAAAAGCTGAACTATTAGTGCAAGTAATTAGTAAAGCTTTTAGTAGGATGAAGTATTTACTGTTTAAAGAACCTCAGTTTTTGAACAACTTTGCTTTAAAGACTCAAGAATTCCTGTTTCAGAAACAAACATCTAAGATGACATTAGTGTTGTTGTTGCTGTTTACGACCACTCACCGGGCAGACGGACGAGTGTCTGGGATGCCATGCTGTCAATATGAGTTTTCACTGGTGGAGTCCTTCCAATCTGACGAAGAGCCTGCAAACGAGTCACCCTTTATTAATCATGTTCCCATAGAACCACATCACACAAAACATCCTAACAAAACAAAAAACAAACAATTCCTCCCCCAAAAAACAGATCGCGTACCTGAACAAAGAGCTTGGTGCACTTGATATCGATGATGAGCGGGACAGAGTAGTCGATAGCCATACGCCTGGTCCTGTAGCCTTTGGTGACAAAGGAGGAGAGCCTTCGACCTCCGCTGTTCCTCATGGAGAGGTTAATGACAAGGTCGAAGTGGTTCTCCTCCAGGTAGTTCATGATGCTGCGCTGCTTCTCTTTGGTGGCACATTCATCGCTATCGTACTCCTCAAACGGCCAATCGATTGCAGTCACCTGTACAAGGAGACAAAACAAACTTAAAGACAATATCTTAAAGAGTCTTAAAGTTTCTATCCTGATTTCATCCTGTCATAGATTAATACTTAAAATAGAGTGTTATTAAAGTACTTAAGTGAACGCCACAACTATGAGCAATGACATTTCGAAATAAATTTCTGCTGTTTTTCAAAAGCTCTAGCAAAATAAAACATTTTTTACAGTTACATTGTATCCATGTATAAGTGCTGCTCATCTGGAATCTTTGGTTTAATGTGCAATTCAAGAGGAATGATAAAGATGTAAAGGGTTACCAGGATTAAAGCATTTAAAAACAAATACACATAAACACGACCATATTCATGAGTCACTCACAGATGTGCCACTGCAAAATAAGTCGATTTTGATTTAAATAAAGTTTGTTACTCCAAAAAACGAAGCCTGTGTTAAAAGAATTACCTTGACTCCATGCTCTGTGTAGAAGTCAGCCGTGCCCATGCTGGCATACAGGTCATATCCCAAAGACTCCAGGGCCTGCACGGTGGGCAGCAGCTCACTCTTGTTCTGCAAACACAAGTCAATGCAAATAGTTTGGATAAACAATAAAATCATAACATCAGTGCTGAAAGCTGGAAAAATCTATTTCGTTTACTATGCTTCACACAACCGGAACACTCTCCAGATGCTCCTTAAAATCAGATCACTTTTAAACTTCTTAAATCTATTGTGGTAGACAGACAGTTTCAGTTTCAGCTCATCTTATCTGACATCGATGGCCTTTTCATACAGTTCCATTTGCTGTTTTTTTAACCCAGCATTCATATCTTTAGACTTCCCTGAACCACGGTCACCCCTTAATCTAGTTTTTATATTTTCTATATTCAGGCAAACAGATCATAATATTTCAACGCCGCAGAAAAAAATGTGGTTCGATGATTTTTATTCCATTTGTGTTGCTGAGATGGTTTTGATCGAGTTTAACTACATCTGGTCTCATGGTGATAATATTTACAGTTATCAGCTGTTGGTGGAATCATCAACAGCTGCTGCAAAAACAAATAATCAAGGTTTGTTGCTTTTCTCGTTAGAAAAGTAGCAGATGCATAAAATCTGTTGTTTATTCCCATGTGACTGATCAGCCACAAAAACATCTGCCAAACATAACCCACAGTTGTGACTAGACTTTAATGTGCCACTAAAATGCATCATTCGTACTTCCAGCTGCATCACTTGTGAGCTGAACTCACTGTTCACATCTGGATCCCTATCTGTTGTGTTTTTGTCAGTCGAAACCTTTAAGTACCTTATAGCTGCCGATGGAGAGCAGGATGTTCTTCTTGGGGATCTTGAAGCCTGTGGAGAGCATGGCTTTGAGGTAAGCCTCGTACTGGTTCTCCCCAAAACAAGCTACTTCTCCAGTGCTGGTCATCTCCACCCCGAGCACCACATCAGCTCCGGCCAGCCGAGAGAAAGAAAACTGAGGGACCTGGAGGACATTTGGTTGAAAGCAATCCGTGATGCTCAGTCAGATGAGAAGACAAAAGTGATTTAACATGAAGGGAAATATTTATGATTGCTTTCACACTACTTACCTTGACTCCCACAATCCCTTTCCCTTTCATCAGGCCCACTGGCTCCACGTCCTCCCCGATAATGTACTGGGTAGCCAGAGCCACCAAGTCCACTCCCAGTGTCTTGGACACAAAGGGGAACGAGCGAGAAACTCGGACGTTGCACTCGATCACTTTGAGCTGGTCATCCTGAGAGAAAAAACACAGCGGTCATTCAGCCGCCACTGTGTCAATCTGCTTCACCACTGGCAGGATGGACCAATCGTGACGCAGCTTTCTGACGGCCAGCTCTGTGCTGTTAGAGGGAAACGTGGATTTAGTGATAGAGGACAAACCTTAGTTTGGATTCTTTAAAAGCACTTTATCTAAAATAACATTTCATGCTGATAATACCCTAATCACAGAGAAAGTTACCATTAAGTTAAAATAAGACAGTGATTATTTCCTTTCCTACCCACCTCTGTACAGCCAGTGCTATCTGCTTGTCTGAGAAGCCCAGCTGCTTGGCCTTAAGCATCACCTCTGGAGGCATGGAGCTCTCATCCTGGACGGAAGGAAATTAATCCAGCATCTTAATCCATTTCGAACAGCTCTTAGTTTTTTCATGTTACGTCTTATCGGCCTTACCTGATTGTAGGTCTCCAGCAGCAGCTCGTGGTCGGCGATGTTCTTCATCTTGTGCAGGAACCAGTGGTCGATTTTGGTCATACAGCTTTTCCACAGTGTAGCCAGCTTTGAATGCTGCCGCCAGCACAAAGATACGCTTATCTGTAGGAGTCTGCAACTCCTGGTAAGCAGAGGGAGCACAACATACTAACTGTGAAGTAAAGTGCTGCTAGTTATTTGCCAGCCATGAGCATCAGCTCAGACATTTGGGCTTATTTTCTCAAAATAAATAAATAAATAAAAATAAATCAGCCACACACATAGTAGCAGAACATGATTAACAGCATGCAATGAAACATTCTTCAAAAAACCCAGAAGCAGGAAGCATTACAGTAGTAGATAGCTCAGGGGAGATCTGGCACCATCTACTGGTCCCGTTAAGACAGAACAATACAGTTTTGACCTTTTAAAATGTCCTTATCACAATCATTTATAGGGTCACCATCCTAATAGAGGTGTAGTAAAACAGATCAACATGCTTTAATGTGCTGCACCATCACTCATCCTTAAAAGCCGATGGCATTGCATAGCAAAAGCACCAATGTTGTGTTCTGACCAAATATGAATCATCATATCATTGCATGGTTGGCTGAAAATGGTTAAAAATCTTTCAACCTGAGATAAAGTATTTGCTGACACTGCAGTGAACAGGTCGTGCAGCAGCAAGGCATTTTTTAACCAGTACAACCATTTAACCTGGACTTCAGCTATGGGAGGTTACCTTTTCAGAGACAGGCTTGATGGTGTGGTCAAAGCCAACACAGTTCTCATCCACCATCCTCAGAGCTTTCTGGAAGGCTTCCTCAAAGCTACGACCAATAGCCATCACCTCCGCTGTTGAAGAAAAGGTTCTAGCACTGAGCACAATATCCATAATAAGCACCTGACTTACTGGCTTCTCTGCCCGCACTGGTAAAGGTTAACTTTATAATCAAACTGTGAAATAAAGCAGTAGAGTAAAACTTTAATGCCCTCATGGAGAAATCTGCTGTGATAGCAGTGCAGAAAAAATAAATAAATAAGAATAAAAAAAGAAAGAAAAAAAACATAGTAGGTGCAAAAAATGACCATCTGAATTTATTGTTAGCTTTACTGAGACCAAACTAAGTATTTTTAAAATGTTCTGGAATACTAACAGTACTAAATCTACTACCTATTTACAATTTGTTACAACATATTTTTGTTCCAAGCTCGCTTTTGCCTCTTACCAACACTCTTCATGGAGCTGCCTATCTTGGTGGAAACTAGAGATGGACCGATCCGATATTACGTATCGGTATCGGTCCGATACTGACCTAAATTACTGGATCGGATATCGGAGAAAAATAAAAAATGTAATCCGATCCATTAAATATCACGAAAGCACCTCACAAAACTTGCAACACGCCGTAACTCGCCTCAGAACGTCGGAGCAGTATGCATCACGTGATAGAGCGGCTGTGGCATGCGGGACCTGTCGTTGGTCTGGCATTTCATCTCCGACAAAGTTATCCCCGAGAGAAGTAAAGCAAGTGTGTAAGTCCATCTCTGAATGTTTGTAAAGCATTCCCAGTTAAGCTTAACTAGCGACTGCCTCTCGCTCTCCGGCTGCTACTTCAATCTGAAACTGCTAATGATCAGCTGATCGGCTTTTCTGTTGTGAGTCCGTCTCTCTTGTTTGTTTTTGGTCCACTTTGCGCCAGAAAGAGCAAACCAGCGGCTGAACAACAGCAGCACGTTTAAGCTTGATAAGCTGTTGTTAGAATTTATTTAATATTACTTTCTACACCAGGATCTTTTTCTACGTAGCTGACGGCTGGTAACTGTGCAGGGGCGGATCTAGCAAAGTTTAGCCAGGGGGGCCGATAGGGCATTAACTGGGAAAAGGGGGCACAAAGACATACTTTTCTTTCTTATTCTCATTTAAAATGTCTAGCTTTTAATAAATAATTATCTGACACCCAAAGTTTTAATTTGATGTAAAATGAATAGAAGTCAATTACTGTATATAGTGACTATTAAGTCTAATATATATACCCTAGTAAGCTATAGTACATTTTCCTTTGGGAAGGTACCATCTGTGCAGTCTGCAATTTTGTTGAAGAAAGATGTTGAATCTATTTAATATTTCTTGAAAAATAATTGATTTCTGTGCATTTTTTTTCACACTGCATCAAATTAAGGTTGATTACGTTGATTAAGCATCATGAGGTGGAGCGTGAGGGGTGGTTCCCTATTTTTTATTTATTTATTTTTGTTGTTGCTGGGAGTTGGAACCCTATTAGTTAGGTTGCTTAATATTTACGCTAAGTACTCTTTAAAATACCAGAATAGGGAGGATGGTGTAGGTCTAAGTTTATTAGATTGATCAGTATTGCTGAACTATGAAATATTTTTTTTGTATACAGGTATAACAGAATAGCTTTAGTGTAGTTGTTGTTTTAAACTTGAGTATGAACTTGCAGACTTGCAAAATGCAGCAAGATATTTTAAAAAACAGTTTTGTTGATTAAAAAACACTATATCGGATTCATATCGGTATCGGCAGATATCCAAATTTATGATATCGGTATCGGTATCGGACATAAAAAAGTGGTATCGTGCCATCTCTAGTGGAAACCCTGAGGAACTTGCTGAGATCCCAGCGAGGCACCTTCACCACACAGTAATCCAAACTCGGCTCAAAGTTTGCCGTCGTCGAGTTTGTCACTGAGTTTCTGGACAAAAATACAGACGCAGTGCAAATATTTTTCATGGGTGAATCACTTAATTTAAAGGCGCTTTACAGTTAAGACATTTATGCCAAAAAAAAAAAAAAACTACAATGCTTATGCTGCAACTGCTCAAAGCAGTTTTGTCAAAACAATAACTTCAAATTAACCAAACTGCCAGCTGTGCAGGTGATGAATATCATCTTGTCACCAACATTTCCAAATTTCTTTGCTGATGAAAAATTGTGAAAACGTTTATACTAAAAAAAAATGATTGAATTTCAATGATCAGATGTCTTCAAGTGTAATGATTGACTAGCTACATGTTTCCTGGGTCGGTGTGACACTGTGGGGGTGACTATTCAGGGTAAGCACAACAGGTCCACATGCAGTGAAGGCAGCGAGTCTGTGCTGCCTTACTTTACAGGCATCTATGCATCACAATTGTTTTTTGGTCGTTTAATATAGAAAAATTGATTTTAAGCTTGAATACTTTAAACCCCACTTTTAAAAAATGTTCAGTTTAGCAGAATACTGGAACGTCTTTGTTGGATGTCATCATTCTTTAAAAGCAGCGATGCCCCTGTTAGATCATTATCCGCCGTTCTTAAGCTGAGAGACGTACTTGAGCTGTGGCAGCGGGATCCCCAGACCAAGTTTAGCTGCTACGTAGGCCAAAGGATAACCAGTCGCTTTACTGGCCAGAGCAGAGCTCCGTGACAGGCGGGCATTCACCTCAATGATGTAGTACTGCAACACATTATACATAGAAGATACAATTCAATCACACACATTACGGGAATTAGACCAGGAGCAGGAATACCAGCTCCCCATGCACACAAGACCTGTTTAAAGGCCTGTTCTGATACATAAAGCCTATTCATACAAATCTATTCCTGGTTTGTATGAAATGAACTTGGTCACATTGATACCTAAAACAATTTTCTTTTAAAACTTATTGAACTAGAATTTACATAGCAAAGACTTTTTACAACCTTGTTTTGGAGCCAAAACAGTAAATGTAAGCCGTTGACATACCTGGCTGTTACATTATCTGCAGATCCAGCCGCACACTCTGTACATCCTATAGCCATATAAACTGTATATACTTAAAGTCATGTTACCACCCATGCTTATTTCAATATACCTACACTTTCTGTACTATTCATTACAGCATGTCACTGGCTTTAAAATAAGGAAATGAAAAACAGATCCACTTTATAGGTGAACACAGTCCTATTTGTGCTTTTCATCACCCAGGTCTTCACATATATGCTTACCTGTTCAGATTCGGGGTTAAGAGCGTACTGGATGTTACACTCTCCCACGATGCCGAGATGTCTGATGACTTTAATGGCCGTGTTTCTCAGCATGTTGTACTCGCGGTCATTAAGCGTCTGACTGGGAGCCACTACAATGGATTCCCCAGTGTGGATACCCAGTGGGTCGATGTTCTCCATATTACACACCTAAACAAAAGGAAACAACAGCCACTTTAAATCGCCCTCAGTTTTTTTTTTAGTGAGTATAAGCTGTTTGTTCTCTGGTCTCCTTTTACTCACAGTCACACAGTTGTCATAGGCGTCCCGGACCACCTCATACTCAATCTCCTTCCAGCCTTTCAGGGATTTGTCCACCAGCACCTGAGAGGTGTGAGCGAATGCTGCCGTTACCAGAGAGGTCAGCTCCTCTCTGTTGTTGGCAAAACCGGAGCAGAGGCCTCCGAGAGCGAACGCTGAACGAACCAAGACGGGGTAGCCAAGACGCTCAGCAGCCGCCACCGCCTACAGCAGAGTTAATCAGATAAATTTAGACTTCACTGGGGCAAAAAACAATCCAGAAGCTATTAATTTATAAGCGAACACGTCTCCTCACCTGTTCCACCGACAGAGCTGCTTCACTGGGAGCTACATGCTCATTGATCTCTTCCATTTTCTCCACAAAGATTTTCCTGTCTTCGGTCATCTCAATGGAGGAAACAGGAGTTCCCAGAACCTGCACTTTATATTTCTCCAGAACGCCCAGCTTGGTCATCTCTACACCGCAGTTCAGAGCAGTCTGACCTCCAAAAGTCAGCAGGACGCCGTCCGGGCGCTCATTTTTTATCACCTGTAACAACAAGATGTAATGACACGAAGCACTCACAACACATGAAAATGAGACAAACAGCTCTGTGGATTTCACACTGGGAATTTCATCCCGTCCAAGACATTTGGAAGTCTGCAACTGAACTAAAAGCAGCTTAAGTCATCTTTTACTTTTTTTATTAGCCTCTTCGTTTCCACTCTATACTGCCGTATGATGGATGCAGGTAGAAAGCTGAGCGGGGATTTTTATATCTTTGAGCCAGCACATTTTTACAGAAACGTATTATGAACACTGAAATTTAAAAATAAAAATAATAACAAACTACATTAAATAAACCTGGGCAAAGAAGGTAAAAATCTGAGGGAATATTTGTCCTCAAACTTGTTTCTTTTCATTATCATTATTAATCTGCACTCTTATTTTTCCTCTCTTACTAATTAATTACTGGCTGTTGTCACTATATTGCATCTATATAAAAACCAGAGTGGAGCAACGAGCTCTCTTTAGTCCACCAGCACCAACCTTTATCTTACATGATGACTTCCAATGGAGCCGCGGATTTAAGGGCTGTAACACAAAGCTCATGTTTTGCCTTTGCTTTGCTAGTGCTGCATTCAAGTGTTCAACCAAACAAAGTGATGGACCACGTAAAAGTGTATCTTATCCACAGTAAAGAAATAAAAATAAAGGTTGTCCTAGAACCCACTGCCCCAAATCCTACAATACAGACACAAAAGAAGACTGAACTACCTTCAACAGTCACCAAAGCTACAAACACACCTGTGCAGAACTGCTCTGTGTTCTGTGGTGGGCTGTGATTATGTGAGACCCCTCAGTCTTTTAGACAAACACAATCTGGGGTCAATACTGACTGATCCGAAAAAACAAACAAACAAAAAACAGTTGACCTACAAATTTCACTGTGTCCACAGTTTCTCTTCTTTCATCAGTCACAGAGTTGCAACAGAGTGAATCCATACCTGAGTGATGTACTCTGCTGTAATCGGCAGAAAGTAGACTTTGTCAGCCAGATCTTTGGAGGTCTGGGCCCGTTCTTCGTACCTCGCTAAGTGAGTTAGCTGGATGAGATTGTTGACGATTTCGCGTGATCCTGGATCGTTCGGTTCCCGAAGCCCATCCGGGACTTGCTGTCATAGCAACAGAGCCGTAAGCGTAAACCTGCTCGGGAGCAGGTTTACTTTATGTAAACAGGATTAGATCGCGGCCACGCAGGTATGTCCGCTTCATTTATACGAAAGCAACAGCGATATTCCACCACTGTTTCACCATAAATAAATATTATCAATGTAACTAAAGATAATGCAGCACTTGATCCTTTTATTGATGTCACACAGATACATACAGGTCATTTCCTAAAAAAGGGAAATGTACTATTAACATTCTATTACATGTATGTGATTATTACAGATGTAATTCATATTTCAGAGTAGTAATTGTAAATTACTTCGTGTAATCAAGATGAGAGACCACGGCTATAAAAGCGAAGGTGGATTTGGGAAGCCTGTCGCAGCCATGTCCTGTCCGTTTACGCGAGCAGCCCATTGCGGAAGGTGCAAGATTGATAAGGAGAGTCCTCAGAATTCAGCGTATATTGCGGGACAGACAGGATCCTTTAGCTCAGCGCGACAGTGTGCTCATAGAGAGATATCGATTTTCCCGTGAGGGTATTATTCACTTAACCAACTTGTTGACGAGGGGGTGCAGGACCACCACCTGTCTTTTGTTGCTCTGCCCTTTTCTTGGTTGCTGTTATAAACAAACAGATTATTTCAGGGTCTCTGTCCAAGAGACGAAAAGCAATATAAGTGATAAATATTACCATTCTGTAGAATATTCTTATATTTCACTTTTACTTGTTCCCATGTTCTAGTGGGTCCTGTTGTGGCTCTAATGTGAAAGGGGATATAATATAACATATTATAATATAATATAATGTACTATAATACTGGATAATATAGTGTAATATAATAAATCTACCCTACCACCTACTGGTGTTGGCCAGAGGGGCCGATGGCGCGATATGGCAGCCTGGCTTCTGTCAGTCTGCCCCAGGGCAGCTGTGGCTACAACCGTAGCTGCCTCCACCAGTGTGTGAATGTGAGAGTGAATGAATAGTGGCATTGTAAAGCGCTTTGGGTGCCTTGAAAAGCGCTATATAAATCCACTCCATTATTATTGTTATTATTGAATTACTTACGAGTTTGATTTGTCAGCAACTTTCTGCCAGCCCTCTCTCCTTGCTTTTGCAGCCTTTGCAGTGTTCCCTTGCGTTTTAATTAAACTCTGAAACTCCTGAAATCCCTCACTCAAGAGTTCTTGCTCTGCTGCCGAAAAATACCGAGCGCGCTCCTTCGACATTTTCGCCGACCAATCAAAGGGTTGCCGATCAATGTTTCTACTATCGATGCGTAGCCCCTGTTAAGCCACCCAGTGATCTCACATTACCTCATCCAGCTGTACTAATCGTCAACAACAGGTGTGTTCGGGAACCGGATTAGCGAGCTCAGAGTTAGCGCGATGATTTGATCTTGGATGTTTCATTTGATCTGGATGTAGTAAGCGACGTACGAAGAACGGGCCCTGGCCTATTTCAGGAAGCCGGTTTAGTGCAAACTCTGAGTAAGTATACCCTGATTTAACGAAAACTCTGGCTTTTCGGTTTCACAAAGCGAGTTTAGATTAATCCTGAGTGAGTCACTATGACGACACACTCTGTGAAGCTAACCCCCACCTGTTTTTCGGGCCTCCGCTTTTTTTCTGTTGGCTATAACAGGTCACATTTGAGCATACAGAGTAAGCAAATATGTACTTGTAATGTGCTCAGATAATTTCAATAAGTGCTTACAGAAAGAAAATTAATGTAGCCTCTAACTGCAATTGATTTACATGGGACAAACAGACCAAGCACTATGGCTCATAATACAATTACACCTTACCTGTTTGGACTATATTTTTATATTTCATTTTTACTTGCTGCCAGGAACGTTTGGGGCCTGTTGGGTCACATCAATGTTTAAATTAACACTCACGCATTGACTCTGTCGGCTATGTTTTGCCATGCATGCTCCCTTTCTTTTACAGCTGAGGCTGTAATACTTTTTCCCGCAAATTTTTTTTTTTTTTTTTTTTTTTGACAGAAACATTCATACTCACATTCACTCGCACATTCACACTAGTGACAATTGGATTTCCAATTAACCTATCCCACAAACTGCATGTCTTTGGACGTGGAGGAAGCCGAGTACCGGAGGAACCACGCAAACACGGGAGAACATGCAAACTCCACACAGAAAGACCCGCCTGATGGTGGATTGAACTCAGACCTTCTTGCTGTGCGCAACAGTGCTAACCACCGTGCCACCGTGCTGCCTTTCCCCGCAAAATTTGCATGTTATCGGCATATGCTGCCATCAGAATTTCGGCCTCAAGCGCTGTAAGATACATTGACCGCGCCTTCTTTCCCTCCGTCTCCATGGTGACTCGCTTAATCTGTGCTCCACTAATCAGGGCTTTACGTATTCTCGTGCGCGCGCTTAACTTGGGGTTAAAGCAACTCCGCATTGATTGAACTAATTGTTATCAGCCTTTCTGAAACCGAATATTCCGAGTTGGACAGTTCGGGGTTACTCAACCCTGAGTATCGTTTTTCACTCTGAGTTTTCTAAACCGGTTTCCTGAAATAGGGCCCAGGTCTCTGTGGCTTTTAAACCCCAAAACACGCTGCGCCAAAAATTGGTCCACCCCAAGGATCGGGTCCCCCGACACAAACAGAGTAAAATAGTGTACGCTGTTAAGTGCCAGGAGGATTGCCAGGATTTATACATCGGGGAAACCAAACAACCTCTGGCGGAGCGGACGGCACAACACAGAAGAGCTACCTCGTCTCGCCAGGACTCTGCGGTCTATTTACACCTACAGGCCAGTGGACACTCTTTCAATGATGAGGATGTACACATCCTGGACAGAGAGGAACGCTGGTTTGAGCGCGGAGTCAAGGAGGCCATTTACGTGAAAAGGGAAAGACCATCTCTGAATCGAGGAGGGGGCCTAAGGGTACATCTTTCGCCATCTTACAATGCTGTGATTTCAGCCATTCCCCAACTCTCTGTGAATGGTACTCATGGCCATTGATCTGTGGTCTTTGATCAATGGGTTTTGGTCAGTGGTTGTTGATCAACGGTCATGAGAATTTTCGTAATTATGATTAAGGAACTGACCTCCCAGCCCATTGTTCCTTCAGGGGGCTGGTTTCAGTCATTATACAAATGTACTGTTTATAAGATTTGGAGAACCCTGCAGTCAGCTGAGACTGAAGAAGTCACTTGGATGAGTGACGAAACGTTTCTCCCACAAAACGCTACGTCCAGATGAACAGAATCAACTTTGGAGATAGAAAAATATAGTTTTTCATGTAAACTTGATTATTGTCTGTAGTAGGGCTGCCACAAACGATTATTTTCATAGTCGACTAGTCATCAATTATTTTTGCGATTAGTCGACTAATCAGATCATCATCCATTGGACGTAAAACGTACAGCTTATTGCACCAGCATTCATCTGCTCTTATATAACTATAATTAGTTTACTGCTTGAAGTGTTTAAAGTATGTGCTAACTAAAAATAAAGACAAGATGATAGATTAGACTTTTAATAAATTTGAAAATTGTCTCAGTGGTTTAATAAATTAAGTCGTCTGCTCTTTGCTCCCTAAAATTTAACAGGACATTGGAGTAAATTCTCGACCATCTCAAACTTCTGTTTAATCAGTTTTCTGTTTGACGTTTATTCAGATATGTAAAATCTATAACTTTAATCTCAGCCAAACCGAATTACTCCGGATCAAATAAAACACTGAAAAAAGCCAAACAATAACATTTTTTAGGTTATCTAAGTGACTTATATATCATGTTTAACCTGAGTAGCAAAAGACCGCGGGGGTTTGAAAACGATGTGCCGGGTGTTCGCTGTTCTACACGGATCTAGTGAACCTTACCCCAGCTAGCTATCAAGCTGGTGGGTAACAGATGTCTCTGAAAACGTCGGCGCACTTTTGAAAATATGTGGTGTCTTGATAAACTGAGCAGATATTTGAGGTTTACACAGTTACATTCTCGCCTGAAAATATGTTAAACGTTTATTTTGTGACCCAGAAAGAATAATAAGAGTAATATTAAAACTAACTAGCTGCCGCCATTGTTGGAAACTGAGCTGGGCAGCGCTATGAATTCTGGGACAGAGCTACTTCT